TGTTCATGTAGTGTTTTGCCTATGTAGTGTTCTGCTTTGCTTTGTTTTGCCTTGTTTGCTTTTATGTTAAGAGGTTTACCTAGCCTTATGTTCCCTATTCATTGTATTGTTTCAAATAAGGTTTAGTCAATTTTATGGTGTGAACAGTGTGTGAATGGTTTTATGCACAGGGAGGCAAGGCCCTCTTATATTTGGTTGGTTCATTGATTTGTGGTGTTTATTTAATGGTGCCCTTTAACCTGTTGACTCTGACCATTTCATTCCTGTTCTGCACTGTATTTGAGTGGGCGTGAACTTCTTATAGGTAGCATTTTAGCTTCTGGGGTTAGGTTTCTTAAAACATTTTCATTATTTGAGTCAAAGTATAATTTAACAAAGTTTTATCTGTGTGAGTAATTCCAACGTCTCCGTGGTTGCAGATCTATCTGGGGGTAGCAGCTCAGTACTGGGGAAGTTTGCATGAGTTTGACCTCTGAAAACAGGAGGGGTGTTGCTCTTGGGGAACTACTAAGAGTTACTACGGTCTGAGTTGCCTGGGCCTGTATATTGGCCCGGTCACATATAAATAAATTGTTTGTTTTGTAGAATGTTGTCTATTTGGAGATCGTTATAATGACCCTGGCCCAAGAATAAGGCTAAACGTAATCGTTTCCCTGTTGGACATCGCTGTCACGGCAACGTTGACAGCTGGTGTGCGAGCTCGAACCCGGAACCTTCATGCTGTGAAGCGACAGTGCTAACCACTGTTTCACCATGCCAATCTAACATTTTCGGAAATACTGTATAAATTCAATTATATGTTTATTATTGAGGTCATAGTTAAAGGTGGTGCTGTACTGGACTACATTACATTTAGAAGTCTCTCTATATTTTTGTCCTCCCCAGTTGCATACATACATACAGGGTCAGAATATTAGCAACACCGCTAAATATAATGTAGTCCAGTACAACAAGTACAAAATAGGGTTGAACAGCATCACAGGCTACATCCTCCAAAATGATTACACAAGTTGAATCAGCACCTCTAAAACAGCTTCAATGAAACTGAACACTTTCTCCTTCATCAAGGGAGGATTTATTGCAGCATTGTTGCATAAGAGTGCATTAGTTTTAGCTAGGTGTACCTTTTAAACTTCCAACTGAGTGCATATGTAGATGGTAGGGTGTCAGTTTTTCAAAGGTGTTGATGACTCCATAAATAACATTACCTTAAGGGATCAGATCTTCCCATTATAATACTGCACCATCTCTTGTTGTAAATGGAATGAACGTTATGTTATTTGATAGCTAATGTCATGTTTTGTTAATTCAGTTACAATTAGTATCTCTAAGGCTGTGCATCAGCATTTAATCACAAGCAGATCTATACCTTATGAACTGAATTTAGTTCCCTAATATTATTTTCCTAGATAGGTTGTTCCCACATTTTTTAGGTTGATAGACTTGCATATCTTTATGATGTGACTGGGTGTAAATAAATATATTTTGGTACTTTTTGAAATTAAATCTAAATTGCCCTTCTATGTAAAGAATAAGTAATATATTTGGGAGAGACTGTAATAGTAATGTGATTAGCTTATGCGATCAGTGTGATACTCATACACTCTGTTTGTTATTTTATTAAGTGTGTATCAGCATTTTGCAGTTATCTATCTGATATCATCAAGATGTCAATACATTCCTTTTTTTTTTTATTGGAACAAAGTAAAACATTAACAAAACAGTACCGAACATGGGAGACGAGACAACAGGTACATGACATTGCAAAAAGATATAGAGCGTTTAACAAGATTTTAGTGTGTGAAGTGTGGGTAATTCCAATTTAAGCAGTCTATGAAGCGCAAGAAAGGGAAAAGGAGGGAAAATAAATTAATAAAAAAATAATAATGATGATGATAACAGTACTACTGATAAAATCAGCTTGTTCAATTTTTTGAGGTTGTGTCAATACATTCCTTTTTGCAGTTTCTTCTATTATGATTCTGTATAATCCACACTGGTCTCCCAGTCTGTCTAGGAGACTGCTTTAAGTTTGGTGCCGAGAAACACAGATAAAGCAACCAAACCTGAACACACCCTATGATACACTAATTATAGACCTTGTCACTACAGTTGTTTACTTTAATGTGATTGTAGATCGGCAGTTATTGTTCCTTTTTAAAATGTACAGCTCAATAAAATCACGTATTTGTACAACCCAACAAGTAGCTTCAGACTGCATCATTTCACATAGTGACCTGTTATGGTTACTTCCTAAAAGTGTTATTAATTGTTTAATGGCTCAGATATTTGGGAAATAACTTTAAATCACTATAGATAATATATTATATAGACATTTACTAAAAATTAAATTATTTCTAATAGACAGCATATACTGTTGAGTTACTTAACTTCAGTGTGGTACACTTAACTTTGGTTTATAATTTCTTTATACTTTTTGTGTTCTTCAGCCTCCACTATCGATTTGTGTACATCTGAAGCAATGGACAGTAACTCGGAGGCAGCCTCTGAGCGAATTCTGCTTGAGCCCTACAAGTACGTGTTGCAACTGCCAGGTGAGTCCTCTTCCATCTCTGACTACAGGATGATGGAAGCAGTAGAGACGCATAGACATGCACCTGAAAGGTCACCAAAAGACACATACTGTATAATACTGATGAGTCCTATAGCCACACTGAGTCCTGTCCTGCTCGCTTCCTGTTATTCCCACTGGATCATAGAACAAGCAGAATGCCTAAAATCATTACATTCAATGAAAGGGTGTAGTGCACACCCAGCAGACATAATCACAAAGCAGCTTAAGGTCACCACAGACTGCATGCTGCAAGAGATAGAGGACATACAAGCGGATGGTTTGAAGATCAACAGATATGTCTTGTTAGTAATGTATTTTACTTGTATTTGAGGCTGTAAATGTAGAGGACATTTGCTACTCTTTAGGACACTATCTTTATTGGTTTCTTTAGTTTTGATCGGTCAGTTTTTAATGGTGGAGAACTGACTGACCTGACACCAGAATTTAATTTGGGTAAAGAGGACAAGTCTGTGGAGTGTCAGTGAGCTCAGAGGTTTCCTCTGTTGCAGCAACACTGTGTCATTCAGGCTCATGAAACATAATTATTTTTGAAGTACTGCAACAGACATGTTCATTGAAGTATTTTTAAGCCAGAGTATTTAAAATAAAATGCATAAAATTGTACCCACTGTTTAGATTGTGGATGCAAACTCTCAGGTGGAAACTATTTTACAGCAGAGTCCAATAGGGTGAAAGACAAACACACTTCAAACCTTGTCTGTTAACAACAGAAAAGTGCACTGACTACAAGACTTTTCTTTTAACTACCCAGGTCACCTCCATTTAAACAGAGTTTAGTGCCCAGGGTGACATGCAAGTTTAATACCTTCAAATTAGCTCTGAAATACAAAAACTATAATTAATGGTTCATCTTAATTTAGTTAGTTAAAATTATGTGATAGGTGGGTTTGAAACATTTTAAATCTCTGAGGATGGAATTTATTTATACTGCTCAAAAACATTAAGGGAACACTGAACGATCTTGATGAACGAATTATTAAAGTTGAAAACCTTTACTAATATTGTACATTGTATAACTGGTTCAGAACAAAATGTCATAACGGTCAATGGAAACCAAAATCATCAGCCCATGGAGGCTGTATTCAAAATCATGCTGAAAAACTGAAATCACAGGCTCATCCAAGTTGTGTGAATTTCATCACAGCAACTCATAATATGACTCAGAAGTGTGTGTAGCCCCCGCGTGCCTGTGTGTACTTCGGATAACGTCTGTGCATGCTTCTGATGAGTCAGTAGATGGTGTCCTGGGGGGTCTCCTCACAGACCTGGATCAGGGCATCAGTGAGCTCCTGGACAGTCTGTGGTGGTACTTGGCGGCGCTGGATGCACCGATACGTAGTGTCCCATAGCTACTAAATTGGATTTAGGTCAGGGGAACATGAGGGCCAGTCAATGGTACCAAGGTCATCCAGGAGCTGCCGACACACTCTGGCTACATGAGGCCAGGCATTGTCCTGCACCAGGAGGAACCCAGGGCCCACAGCACCAGCATAAGGTCTGACAATCGCTCTGAGGATTGAATCCTGGTACCTCACAGTAGTCAGGGAACCAAGGGCTATGACATGGAGGTCTGTGTGGCTGTCCAAGGATATGCCTCCCCAGACCATCGCTGATCCACGACCAAACCGGTCATGTTCGATGATGTTACGGGTAGCATAACGTTCACCACAGCGTCTCCAGACTCTTTCATGTCTGTCACATGTGCTCAGTGTGAACCTGCTCTCATCTGTGAAGAGTACGGGGTGTCAACGGTGGGCCTCTGGTGAACACCAGTCAAGCTGCACAGTGCTGAGCTGTGAGCACAGGACGTATTGGAGGAGTCTGTTTCCGACAGTTTGGTTAGAAACCTGCACACCAGTAGCTGCTGGAGGTCATGTTGTAGGGCTCTCCTGATGCTCCTCCTGTTCCTCCTTGCTAAAAGGAGCAGATACTGGTCCTGTTGCTGGATTGTTGAACTTCTACGGCCCTGTCCAGCTCTCATGGTGTAACAGCAGGTCTTTTGATATCTCCTCTGTGCTCCTGAGACACAGCAAACCTTCTTGTGAATGCACATATGGATGTGCCATCTTGGACTAACTGGACCACCTGTGCAACCTGATTGGGCTGCAGGTACTGCTTCATGATACCAGTAGTGACACTAGCAAAACACAAAACTTGAGAAGAATCAGTCAGGAAGGATCAGGAGAGAGCATTTGTCTGTGGCCACCACATGCAAAACCATCCCCTTTTTGGGGGTTGTCTTGCTTTTGCCTCTCCATTGCACCTGCTGTCACTTTCATTTTCACCAAAGTAGGTGAAACTGACTCAATCACTTGTGCTTCCTGAATGGACAGATTTGGAGGTTACAGTGAGTACGGAAAGTATTCAGACCCCCTTAAATTT